TAGGAAGAATGTATGCAGTGTGTTAATTATTGAAACTGTCCTACCAATTTGGTTTGAAACTGTCTCATTGCTATTTGTTTCTCAATAAAATTATGGGAAAAAATAAATAAAAATAAAACAAAAAAATACAGTGACTGCTGATACCAAATGCCATCTAAGAAAAAAGCATCTTACAAAAACAATATAGCGTCTCATCTACCTTATTCACCTAATAGGACACTACGCAACTTCTGGTTCTTCTCCAAAGATAAAATGACCATGAAGGACAAAATGTGTCTTGCATGGTCATTTTAGAAAAAGAAAGTGCTATGAGGATTAATGGCAATGTGTTTTTTATTGTAATAATAGCTTCAAAACCTGAATATCCACCATATGTTTCATTTGCATTTTATATGCGATGCCTGCAAGTCCCTAACTGGCCATCTCTGGAAAGATGTCTCTTCTCCAGGATGCCTTGGCCAGAAGTACACATTTGGCTCCCCAGGCTATAGACACAGTGTGGCTGATAACAAGACCACAGGCTGGTCACAGAGACAGATCGCACTATCACCAAGTCATCCCTGGGTTTCTAAATAATGCAGATGGATAGAATAACTCATGTACTTTCATCAATAGGTTCCACACCAAGGGCTTTCCATAGAACAATAGATAAGATAGAGCCAATATAGAAATAAAAGGGAACAGAATACATCAGAGGCAGGTCACTAGGTTATAATTTTTAAAAATGAGCAGCACAGGTAATGAAAGAGCTTTTGTTCCAAGGAAAAGAATAACTTAGAGCAGCAAAACTTTGAGGAATAGGGTGAAGGAATGCTCTGGGAGGTAGGCATCAAACCAGGGGCATAAACAGCAACCCCCTCACCCTGCACTGTGAGTTCCCCACAAAACGCCAGGTCTTGACACACTAAGCAGCTTATGGTGGGCATCAGAGTGGTTTCCAAAAAGGTGGACACATAAGGACCAGCCAGATAGCTCAGCATCTAAAGCACCTACTTAGGCAGAGTGCAGTGGCCGGGGTTTGATCCCCAGCATGCTGTGCTGGCCCCAAGCCAGGGGTGCACTAAGACTTCGATTGAGACTGGGTGTGGTGGCGCGTGCCTATAATCCCAGCATTTGGGAGGCTGAAAACAGGAGGATCTCTACCAGTCTAATCTGTGTAGTGAGACCCTATAGATCCTGTAGTAAATACATTAAAATTTTTTTTTCAAAATGGTAGTCACCTGTATGGCTGGACAACTGACATCCTCCAACCCCAGGCCTTATGAATGGATAGAACACATCCCACTCACCTCTGAGCTGCTGTGAACTCTGCTTCACTCTGGCCACTCCAGAGTAGACTTGCTTACTTGGAATGTAAAATTGTTTAAGCTGCTGAAGACTAGTATGATGTAAAAAAAAAAAAAGTCATGGAAATCATTTGTGGGTTAAAAAATTTGAAGTTATTACTCTGTGGCTAATAGATGAAGAGGCAGGCCATTTAACATCAAAAAGTGCAAAGAAAGCAAACATCAATACACAAAAATCTCTACAGCTCAAAAAAAGTCAACTATACCTAATTTGCTTCATAAAATAGTTCACCACATTAAGAGAATGGGGCCAGTACCTACACTGGATAAAAGCTTTCAACAAAAAACTCTAGTGAACAGAAAGCCTACAGGACTTTATGGCACATACATTTTTTGACAGGAATGCAAGTTTGAAGTTAATAATAAGCTACATAAACTAGATGCAGTAGCACATGCATGCCTCTAATCCTAGCCTCTGGCAGGCTGAGGAAGGAAGATCAGAAATTTGAATTCCATATGGGTAACTTAGCAAGACTATGTCAAAGTAAAAAGGAGCTAGAGACACAGGCCAAGCAAAGACGTTTCATTCCCCAGTACCATAAGAAACATAAGACAATGTAAATCTCTACTGCTTATAATTGTGTTATAATTATTTCAACAAACAATTAAAGTTAATGAAAAATTCTTACTTTACACAGCTATTCTTCTCATCACATTCTTTCTTTTCAGCTAATCTTAGTGGTTTCTCATTTGGCTTCTGACTTAAAGCACTAGAAGTGAAAAGAAATGATAAAAAATTGTATTAAAACTTGTGAACCCATTTATCCCAACAATAAAATCATCTTTGTTTTCCAGGGGGAAAATTAAGACATAGCAATGAGGAATCATTTGGTCTAACAACTAAGTGGATTTCTCTGAAGACTGAGGCTTAACCCCATAGTGTGGAAAGCACCCCTGACACTTTGAAGCTGGCCACACAGCCTGTCTCCTACTGATAACAACTTGGACCTATGGACAGGAAGTGGAGTAATGGGAAACGGAAGTAGAAACCTGTAATGATCATAACTCTGCAGCATTTCACAGGTTTTCCCTCCTGTCAGTGTTGGTTGAGGATGCTGAGACCTGGACTGAATCGCAGAGGTAAGCATCAAAAATTCCCAGAGGACCTTTTCATAGCCTGCAAACTTGAAAGTGGGCCCTTTATGGCAGATTATAAAGAATCCCCAGTGATTTTCTTCTTTTCCTCCATTTCTCTCCTTGGCCCTGCCCCAAGACAAGCTCTAATATTAGAGGAACATCTTAGTCACCTAAAACCCAAAAGAGAACCTGTTTTGTTTTGTTTTGTTTTTTTTATTTTATGGAAGGGTCTACAGGGTGTTCAGGGTCTCACTACTAGATCAGACATGTAGTGATGCACTTGTTTACAGCCTCCCAAGTGCTGGGATTACAGGTGCCACCATGTTATGGTTTGTGTCTAGGTGTCCCCCCCAAAGCCTCATGCAGTCTTGAGGTGGCTTCTGGAGTTTGTGATTGATTACTGTGGGTGTGGTTGCTGCATCTGCCCTGGGGCAGGTACCTTGCATTACAATGTAAGGTGGGAAGAGAAGCTAGCTGCTTGAGCTGCTGCTACCCCTCCCTTGCGCTCTTGCTCTTTGCTACCACCATGAAAGTTTCCTTTTTGCTCTGTGCTTCTCTGCGTTGGACCCAGCTGAGTATGGACTGAAACCTCCAGTAACTATGAGCTAAATAAACCTTTCCTTCCTTCATTTTGAGTGTCGGGTATTTGTCCCAGCAATGAGAGAAGAGTAACTAAGACACACCACCACTCCCAGTTGTCTCAGTGCGCGCCAGGGGCAGGGCTGCATGGCAGGCCCAGGGACTGAACCCCAGACCCTGTGGCTACCTGCAGGAGCTTTAATACGCTGAGCTATTTGGCCAGCCCTAAGAAAACCCGTTCTTGCAGCCAGAGGATCTGGGAAACGAGAAGCCTGTGTCCGGTATGCAGAGAAAATCTCCACTGCCCTTCTTCACTTACTCCTCTTGCTGTGCTTCCAAGGTAGCCCACATCCTGCCCCAATTGCACAGCAGTTTTTTCAACAGTCCAGAGGAGCAGGAACAAGGAACAGCCATAACTGGTGCAGGTACTCCAGAAACACAGGGGGCCTTGGTGGAGACACCCTACTGCTGTGACCCAGTAGGACTTCCAGGCTGGCACTTGTGAGCAGTCAAAAACAACACAAAGGCTGGGCTGATACTGCTACCACCCACACAGACTGAGGCACAGCCTGCAGTCTGAGCCTTACCCCAAGTTGCTGCCTCCAAGCTTATCCACAGGGTTTTAACAGAAACCAGTTTCACAATATATTATTCAAAATATTCAGATACAACCCAATTTTACTTATCAGACCTGCCCCCCCCCGAAAAAAAAAAACAACAGGAAAATCAGATCAACTGTAAAGAGAGGAAAGACAAAGGTACTATTAAGTGCTTCTAAGAGGGACTCATCAAACATTTTAATGCAGCCAACATAACAATGCTAAGAAAAGTTTAGTACTTCTTGTTTGCTCTTTTGAGACAGGGTCTTGCTATAAAATGTACTTTGTACCTCCTGGGGGCTAGGATTACAGGTGTACACCATCATACCTGCCCAAATTTAGCATTCTTAAATGGAAAGATAGAAGTGTTTTTGTTTTTGTTTGAGACACAGTCCCATTACGCAGTTCAGCTTGGCCTTGAGCTCATTTTGTAGCCCAGGCTGGTCTTGAGCTTGCAACGATCTTTCTGCCTTAGCTTCCTGAGTGCTGGGATTACGGATGGGTGCCACCACGCCTGGCTAAAAAAAAGAGGTTCTTAGCAAATAAACTCTTAAAAAATTCCAAGCAAGTATTAGAAATGAAAAAAAAATAACTGGATGGGCTCAATAATAGAATGGAGATGACAGAAAAAATAGATCAGGATAATTATTAATAAGAAAAAAAGGTTCAAAATGAAAAGAGCCTCAGGGACCTTTTAAAAATATCAAAATGCCTGACTTTTTTTATTGAAGTGTCAAAAGGAGAAGAGAAAAAGACTAGAGCAGAAAAAACACTTATAGAAATTACAATTACCTTGTTCTATGATTTGAACATTTTTGTCCTCTCCATATATCCCACTGAAACAGTGTCTAAGGCAGCAGCATATGGAGGTGGCCTCCTGGAGGTGGATCAGTGATACAAAAAGGCTTGTGAAGCCTGGGCATGATGGTGCACAAATGTAACCCCAACGTTTTAAAGGCTGAGGCAGGAGGATCAAAAGTTTGAGCCCAGAATGGGCAATTTAGTGACTTGGTATTACCTTTTCAAAATAAAAACTATAGCTGGGCCAGCCAGACACAGGGACTTAGGGTTCAATCCTCTGCATGCCATGACAGCCCCGCTCCCATGGCCCGCTGAGATAGCAATCAAGACTAGACATGGTGGCATGCGCCTGTAATCCCAGCACTTGGGAGGCTGCAAACAGGAGGATCACTACAAGTCCAATCTGTGTAGTAAGAACCTGTAGACCCCATACTAAATACAAAGGAAAAAAAAAAAAACTATAAAAAAGGGTGGGGATGTAGTTCAGTGTGAAGGCCCTGGGTCAATACCCAGTATGGAAAAATCAACAAAAGTCTTGTGACAGTGGGTCCATCTCTCATTCTTGCTCTTGTGCCAAGTGAGGAATAGTGGCCCTCCTCTTTGGAGAAGGCAGTGTTGAAGGCACATCCTACAAGGTAATACCAGACCCACACCACATGCCAGTGCAGCTGGTGCCTTGACACTGGAATCCCAGCTTCCAGAACTATGTGAGATACCTTTCTGTTCCTTATAAATTACTCAATCTGTGATGTTTTGTGACAAAATGAATAATGAAACTTCTGAAATTTGATATGATAGAAAACTATAAAGAACTTTAACATACCCAAGCACAAAATTATGATAAAAAACTACATGAGGACATATAATTAAACTGCTCAAGCCAATAACGAAGAGAGAATCTTAACAGCAGTCACAGGAAAGACAAACAGATTTTCCATCAGGAAAAATACAAGAAGATAACAGTAATGTTTACACATGGCAAAGTACTAATTCTACAGACAGAAATTTTTTTTCTAAAATGAGTAATTTTTCAGATATGCAAAAAGTGAAAGCTTATCAGCAGCAAACCTCCAACATAAGAAATGTAAAAATGAATCCCTTGAGTAGAAGGAAAGTGGTATCCAAAGGAAACGTGGACCTATACAAAAAGACCATCACTGTAACTAGAGGTAAGTATATGGTACTTTTCTTATATAAATCACTCGATGATTAATCTTTCATGCCTGTATCTTATAATCTGAGCAACTATTTTGAGGATGACAATACTCAATATATTAAGCATTAATCTATTACTTTGTCTTGAAACTCTGCATCATTGCTTTGTTTTCTCTTTAAAATAAAAAACTTTACAAAAATTGTTTACATAAGATAACAGAGTTTAAGCATTTATAACATATATATAAACTCAACATATAACCATAGCATAAAGTCCACAAGAGAGGAAATCTATCCCATTTTAAGCTCTTACTCTATACATAAAGAGTATGTGACCTCTTTTATATGATTTTATTAATGTCACTGATGTGCATCTCAATGACAACAGTGTTTACTGGAGTTTCTGAAGAAGATAATAAGCCATTTTGCTTTCCATCAACTAGTAAGTATGTTAGTCACTTACTTGCTGCTGAGACAATACCCAACACCCACAGCTTAGAGAGGGAGAGGCTGATCTTTGTTCACAGGTATTAGAGGAGCCAATTTAAAGTTAGCTGGCCCTAGATCAGGAAGATATGGTAGAAGATCTGGCAGAAAAAGCTGTTCAAGTCATGTCAGTCAGGAAGCAAAGAGCAGAGAGGGAGAGACCTGCCTCTTCTAAGCAGGCCCCACTTCCTAACAGCACACTCAGCTACCAGCTGCAAGTAACTCACCAGGCTGTACTGCCACTGGTCCACACTTATCACCCTTCACATCACACCCACTTGTGCCAGTCTTTATTGGGCCTGCCTCACAAAAATAACTTTGCCTCCTAAGGTAACAAGGAGAGTCATTGGCAGTTTTCAGTCCACTGTGCTGTCATAAAATTTTTCCTTTAAATTAGTATGTATTCAATCAACATTCCCTGGGTCACTCTTTTTTAAGATTGAACACTTTCCCACCATTATCTTTTTAAAACACAGATCTGTTTTTTACATCTGTGGGCTCCATACCTGTGTGTTTGACCAACTTCCAATTGAAAATATCTCAAGAAAATACATATGGGCCTTTTTTTCTTGTCATTATTCTTTAAGCAATAACATTTATGTAGAATTTACATTATATTAGGTATTATAAGAAGCCTGGAGATGATTTTAAAGCATACAGATGAATGTGTATAGGTACTACAGCAATCTATGAATAAGACTTGAGTATATGCAGATTTTGATGTTTTCCAGAAAATGGGCCCAATCCCCCATGGACACTGGGGAATGACTACGTATTACATCCGAGGCCCCAGTGGGTTACATTGAATTTCAAATCTTACCTTACTGCTGACACATCTGGATCAGCATATATGGTTATGCCTCTTTTTATTGGCCAGTAAGCTGAAGATTCAACACACTACAAAAAATATTCGGAAAGAATATGCATGATTAACAAGATATATATTCTTTTGGAACCCAAATTCTTTGGACACTGTCATAAACAACCATTTTGGACAATTTTTAAGAACACAAAGATAAGAAGAGACAAAGAGTTGGCAAGATGGATGATTATGCTGTGACTATAATCACTAGATTGAAATATCCAAAGAGTAGACAGCTGGTAATTCAGATAATTACTGTCTAAAATGTCCTACAATTACTTTTAACTGTCTGGTGCAAAGAACTGGAAAGCAATATAGAATTGAAATTAACTTTTTTTTAAAATTAACTATTAAGCACCCCCAAATCTCAGATTTTCACATCCTGATTAAAATGATTAAATTCCTGGTTTTATAGAGAGGCAATTACACAGACAAGAGAGAGAGCTGGAATTATCTTGTTCTTTCAGAATAAGCAAACGTAGAGAATATTTTTTCACAAATAAAATCACCATAGCCAAAGATTTTAATTGAAAGATACTTTGCTTCAGAATGTAAGAATGTTATTAACATTGCATAAACCACAGATTTAATGAACATTTAAAAAATACAACCTTATTTGCATCTTTTAAAGAGACACACTGTTGCTGCTGTTCAGGGTTGTTTTTAGCTGAGTCTCTCAATAAATCCATATCCCATTTTATTCCTTTATCTACAAGGTAAAATAAAAAACTACCTGAAAAATGTTAAAACAGGACAAAAAGAGTAATACAAACAAATATCACTATAAAATCCTAATACACGAAATTATTGTGTACATTTTTTTTAACATTTATTTAGTGTGTGTGTGTGTGGGGGGGGCAGCTCAGCCCACCAGGGGGCGCGGCTGGCTGGCATGTGGTGCTGGGGGATCGAACCGCAGTCCCTGTGTTTTGCCAAGCTTGTTCCAAGTAGGTGCTTTAGACCACTGAGCCATCTCTCCAGCCCCTATTGTGTACATTAAAACTTAAGAGAATTAAAAATTTCCATACTAGCTTACCAAAAATAAAATGTAACTTATTTTTCCAACTAGGCAGATTGTATTTTCCAAAGAAAGTTATAATTGTGCTTCACACACACATGCTCTTCTTTAATGTGACTCTAGATGCAGTCTATATTTCTTCCCCATGAACCTGGGTAGGCTTATAAATAATGAGTGATGTGATGTGATGCAACTCTAAAGCTACATCACACAAACACATGTGCTGCTGACTTGCTCTCTGGAATATGCACCTCTGAAGCCCAGCTGCCATACTCGAGGAAGCCCAAGAAAGCACATGGAAAGTCCATGGTAGGATTCTGGATGACGGGCCCAATCAAGGTCCCATGCAAAAACAAGCAGCGATTGTCAGAAATGTTGACTACAGATGTCTTCAGATGAATCCGACTAGCTAGTTACATGAGCCTTTATGCCTTTCCAGCTGAGGACCCAGACACTGGGATAGAGACAAACTCCTGTCCTGTGACCCTTCTGAATCCACTAGCGTTTCACATTACAAGTTTGGGAAGATGTGTCATCCAGTAATAGTAACAGAGTATTAATAATAACTCAGTGTTAGTGTTAGCCATGGTTCAGGATTACAGTTTTGCATCTCATTTCTTAATTGAACAATACATACAGAAAGTATAATACAGACTGAATTAAACCCTGGAGATATCAAAATTCTGAAGCAAAAGAAAAAGAATTTTTTTTAAGGGCTGGCTAAATAGTTCAGCAGATTAAAGCATCTGCTTAGGCAGATGCAGGGGCTGGGGGTTCAATCCCTGACATGTAGAGCCAGCCCCGCCCCAGGGCACACTTAGACTGCGTATGGTGGTGTATGCCTGTAATTCCAGTGCTTGGGAGGCTGAACAACAGGACAATCACTACATGACTGATCTATGTAGTGAAAGCCTGTAGACCTTGTATTTATGTATAAATACATTAAAAATTTTTTAAATCAAAAAGAAATAAAAAATAATACTATAACAGATTTTCAAATATCTTGGGGGCCTGGTCCTAGCTCAGTCCTTTAAGTGGCTGCTTCCACAAAGCTGTCAGCCTCAGGTTGCTGGAGTTTGAACCTCACAACTCTCCCGCTGGCCAAAAGTGCCCTGAAGGCATTCGAGGAACAAAAAAAAAAAAAAAAAAAATCAAATATCTTAATCCTCTAGACCTCAAAGTGACAAAAGTTGCTTAGTGAATAATACAGATAATCAAGCTGGATAACTTAAATGTTGGGGTAAGAACTGAGGCATGATGTCAAGGAAAAAAAACAAGGAAACCCAACTCGTTGATCATTTATTAGAGAACTTAAAAAATTTGAAAGTGTTCACCTTAACTATTTAGTAAGAGAAATACATATTGAAATGAGTTAAACTTTTACCTATTAAATAATACAAATCACTAAGTAATAGTGAACACCACAAATGTGTGATATTGTAAATTTACCTAATCCTTAAAGTACTGCATGCTATTTGGTACTGGAGCCTCGAATTATACTATCTCTTCAGGCAACCTTTCAGCCAAAAAATACAAACTCTGATCTGGAGCCAAATATGGAGGTGGTAGTTAAAGTTCATCAAGAAAGAACGTCCATATAGGACAAGCTCTCTGTGTTGTGTACATGTACCAACTTCCCACAGTGAATATAATCATTATGTACTGCAAATATGTACTAATAAAAAGACAAGCTCTTTTTTTTTTTTTTTTAGCTTTAGCGTTTTTATTTTTTATTTTATTTTTTATTTTTTTATTTTTGCATTTGGGTAGAACCATTTATTTTTTATTTTTTATTTTTTTATTTTTCAACAAATAATACACTGCATATATTCTTCTTAGTGGTTAATTGCTGTACAAGATGCGGACTTGTGATCCTATTTACAAACAAAAAGACAAGCTCTTAAATAAAAATCATAAAGTATTTCAGTGCCATTATAAATGATAAAAACGGTGGGATAAAAACTAGCCAGAAAGCTGGGTGTGGTGGCACCTCTATAATCCCAGCACTCAGCTGGTTAAGGCAGGAGCATTTCCCTGAGTTCAAGGCCAGCCTGTACTACATAGCAAGACCCTATCTTGGGGGAAAAAACCAGAAAAGGACCTTAAAGCAAATTTATTTAAAATATTCAACCCGTACTAATTCCTTACAAAGAGTGTAAACATTGTGTACTATAAACATGTACTAATAAAAATTTCAAAATTAATTTTGCTAAGTGAAATTCTGTATCATTTCTAATTTTTTATTACTATTTTGTATTCTCTTTAAAAAATAGTAAGTTGGGGAGATAGCTCAGTGGCATAAGTGCCGACCATGGCAAGCTCAGGGTCCCAAGTTTGATCCCTGGTGCTGCAAAAGAAAAATATATAAATAAATAAAAATTGTAGGGCCAGGGAAATAACTCAGAGGCATAAATGCCTACCTGGCAAGCACAAGGTCCTCAGTTTGGTCTCCTGTACCCCCCCCAAGACAAAAACCCAACACACACGTAAAACTTTTAAAATTAAATATCTAATGCATAAAGAATAGTACTTACAGGTAAAAATTCCTATGATAAATGCAATCATTACTTATGGCAAATACATAATACAAAGAATAGTACTAATGAACCCAAACCAGTGGATATGTGAGATAGGTAAATATAAAAATGAACCAATTTGAGCCAGGAATGATGGCAAATGCCTGTAATCCCAGCACACAGAAGGCTGAGGCAGAGGATCGCCATGAGTGTGAGGCCAACTTGGGTTACTTAGTAAGATCTAGACCTGCCTGAACTGAGCCAGACCCTATCTCAAGGAAAACAAAACAGAACCAATTAGAACTTTAACAATATGAAACAGTCATCAGGTTACTGGATTGAGTGGTACATATTTACAGTCCCAGCTACTCAGAAGGCTAAGAATTCAACCCTTCAGCCTAAGAATTTGAGGCCAACCTAGGCAACAGAGCAAAGTCCCATCTCAAAAATAAAAAGCAAACATCTTGGAAATCAACTCAGAGATATAAAATGAAAAGAGTTATTTATTTTTGTATTTTTAGGGAAGAGTCTACAGGGTGTTCAGGATCTCACTACTAGATTGGACTTATAGTGATATGCCTATTTACAGCCTCCCAAGAGCTGGGATTACAGGTGTGTGCCACCAAGCCCAGTCTCAATTGCCATCTCAGCACACCCTGGGGGCAGGGCCGACATAGCAGGCCCAGGGATTGAACCCCTGGGCCCTGTGCCTGTTTGCAGGCATTTTAATTGGCTGCACTATTTGGCTAACCCTTGTAAAGGGTTATTTAAAAGGTTAAGAGAACTGGATGACAGATGAAGAATCTTTGACTAGACGAGACTCAGTCCAGCAGTAATCCCAAGTAGAAGTTTGTATTAGTATAGATTCCTTGTTTTCGAACTATTTATAAGAAGATATAAATGTACACAGACATACATACACACAAGCTTCTGGTTTTCAGTACACAGATATAAAATACACAAATGTATATGTACACATGCATATATACACATAGACACACATACACAATCCCTAGCTCCATTCACTATTAGTGCCTGGGAACAACGGCACCCCAGCAGCAAAAAACACACCCTGTTTGAAACCTTGGCTTGAAACTGCCATTCTCCATAAAAGAAGTCAAGGCAATCTGGAGAAACTATTGATTTCAGGGTTGCAGAAAGCTCAGTAATAAATCATTTGTTTACCATGAGGCCTGGGTTCAGTCCTTAGAATCACAAAAGAAAACAGAGCAATTTTACTGAAATGATGGTTATAAACTTCACAAGAGCAGAGACTTTGGTCCTTCCCTGATAAGCCTCTAGAACAGAGCCTGACACACAGCTGTATTACATAAATACATGAGTAAGTGAATGTGGATGTGGGGTGTTAGAACTTGTCTGTCATATAAATCAAGACAGTTCTGGGTTTATAGGCACATGCCAGCACCCCGGGCTATTATCTCCAAATTTTAAAAAATTTATTTATTTGTATTCTATTGAGTCTGAATCTTTTTTTTTTTTTTTTTTGAGCCAGGGTCTTACCATGTAGTGCAGACTAGGGCCTTGAATTCATTTATGTAGCCAAGGCTGGCCTCAAACTCATGCAAATCCTCCTGCCTCAGCCTCCTAAGTGCCAGGATTGCAGGCATGTGCCATTACACCTGGAGAATCTGAATCATTTTAGACGCTAATAATTTATATGACACAGCACTCTTTTATCCCTAATTTATATTTCATCATTCACCTATCTTTCTTCCCATCTTCCCCTTCCTTTTTTTCTTTTCTTTCTTTTTTTTTTTTTTTTTAAATGGGTCTTGCCATATTTTCCAGGCTGGCCCTGAGTTCCTAAACTCAAATGATTCTCTTGCTTTCACCTGCCAAATACCTGGGACTACAGGTATGTAGCACTACATATACTCATAAGCTTGTTATGCTCCTTACATCATAAAATCTCTAACCACAGATTGCAAGGTTAATGATCACTGTCAGCATTTTATCATAAATGAGTTCCATTAAATTAAGAAAAAAAGACCAGGGGAGAAAATTACCATGGTTCTTTTAAATAGTTATCTTTATAATCCCTAGACTGTTAAGGGGCTCCAGGTATAGTTCAGTGATAGCTCATGTGAGGTCTGTGTTCAGTCTCTGGCACCAAAATAAATGAATGAATCAATGAATCAAACTAGCAGGACTCACCCAGTACTGCAGCAGCTGGACCAAGGTCACCACCAACACCCCTGTACCATGTGCGCTGGAGAGACTGTGCCAAAGAATCTAAATCATGTGAATATGAAAGCACAAATTTAAAAATTAAACCATGAAATAAAAAGCAAAACAAAAAGGTGAATTTGTTGATATAGTTCTGCTCCTGCTTTACTATGAACTTAAAGCCCTAACAAGAGGGCAGCAGCATGTGAGGGGACTAAAACTGGGAAGCAGAGAGGAACATTTAAAACTGTTTTTTTGTGGTCCATGACACTCTTCTCATACTTTCATGCTAAGATCATTTGCAATAAATAGCTCTAAGTGTATAAAAACCAAGTCAGGTATGGTGGTGCATACCTATAATCCCAGGCTTAGGGAGGCTGAGGCAGGAGGATTGCCAGTTCAAGGCCAGCTTAGGCTAGATAGTGAATTCAAGGCCAATCTAAACTACATGGTAAAATCCTATCTCAAAAAACCCACAAGTAAATAAACAACTCTAAATATTGAAAATTCTACTTTGTTAAAACTTTAAATTACAAACAATAAAACTTCTAAAACTATACTTCAACGTTAAAAAAATTGAGAATTGTTTTTTCCTGGTTTCATAAAAACAAACTGTAGGCTAGGGAGATAGCCTGGAGGCATAAGAGCCTGCCTGGCAAGTGCAAAGTCCTAAGTTTGATCCCCAGCACTGCATGCCATGCCAGCACAGGTACGAGGCATGGTGGTGCACACCTCTAATCTCAGCACTGGGGACATTGAGACAGTAGGATCACTACGAGTCTGAACTGCATAGCAAGACCCTGTATCAAAAAAAAAAAAAAAAAAAAACATGCAGGAGATTTAGATTCATAAAATCTGTCACAGGCTTATCAAAATTAAACTTTAATTGTTAAGCAGCGTTCAAGCCTCTGTCTCCATATAGGAAAAAGTTTATATACCTATCAAAAAACTAATATTAAAAATAAAACAATTTAAAGGACATACATATTGGTGAGGATCCACTCACTTTTTGTTCCTTGAAAATCTTTTCTTTGCAAAAGCATTGGCCAAAGAGTAAGTGCTGGATTGAGTTTGCTGGAAAAGGATTCTGACTTTATATTGAATCTTGCTTTCTCCAAATCAAAGAATTTGTTCTTTGCGGATGATACATAACAGGCAAAGTTCTTTGCAACTAGATCATCATTAACACAAATCTGCAAAAAGTTAAAACATTTCATAGATGAGCATGGTCAAAGGACTGTAAATATTCCAAACTAAATCTCCAAATTTCAATCTTCAGAAAAAACTGCTTTATATAACACAGTCAGATAAAACTACATTTCTTAACTGCTTCTCTGGTAACAGTGAAATAAATACTTATCATCATCTTTCCTACTGATGAAATGGCAAGTCCCTGTATGAAATAGAGAGAAACATCTTGCTAATGATACAGCAACCTCATAGAACCTGGTCAGGCAAAGATCTGGGGGAGACACTAACCAAACCAGGAAAAACTGAAAAATCAGATTCTATCAAATCTTAAAACTTCTCTTCAAAAGAGAAGAAATGGAGTGAAAAAAAATTTAGATCAAGTATCTGTATAGACTATATCCAGAATAAATAACTCTCAGAAGTCAGTAAAAAGAAAACAAGATGGTGGAAAAAACAGGCAAAAAGCCTAAGTGAACACTTCATAGCAGATATATGAAGTCAAAAAATAAGGTGTCATCTGTCATTCAACAAATGCAAATCTAATACACAGAGAGACACCACTACACACCTACTGGAATGACCACACAGGAGTTACAGTGCTGTAACTCCAGCACTCAAGAAGCTGAGGCAAAAGGATCCAAAGTTCAAGGGAACCCTGGGCTACACAACAAAATGAAGGCTGATCTAGAGTAAACAGTGAGACCCTGTTTTGAGCCTCTAAAAGCAAGACAAAGAGGATGTTTCATGCACTGCTGATAATATAAAATAGTCAACCACTTTGGAAAACAGTATGGCAGTTTAATACCTACAATACTAACTAGAAGTTGGGCTCCTAAGTGTTTACTCAAAAGAAACAAAGATATAGATCCATAAGAAAACTTACATGTGAATATTTGCAATAGCCCCTAATTGACCACAAATCAAATACATATCAAGAATGGATAAATACATTCTGGTATATTCACACAAAGGAAAGTTCTTCTTTTATACACACGTACACACACACATATATAAAAAATATGTGTATAACCCAACATAAGATTGTCACTGTTTCATAGAAATCTTCAATGACCTTTAAATAAGGGTTCATCTAATATAAATTATATAGTCCTGCATAACTATCACATTGAGAGCTCTTTATTGTTCATCTGGGAGCATACTGCAACTTCTCTTGCCTTTTGAATTATGCTCTTTGTTATTTCCTATATGCTACTTCTGGAGGTATTAAAATATTTCAAGTTTGTATAACTAGAAAAACCTTACTTTTAGTTTTCAAAGGTATGTTTGCTAAGTATAAAGTTCAAACAGGACAGATCTTTTTTTTTTTTCAGTCCTGTAATTAGTCTAGTTTCTTACATACTTGGTCCTTTTTTTTTCTTTCTAATGTGGAATAAGATGCTATTTAATTTTGTTCTTCTATAGCTATTTTTTATGTATATGCTTTAATGATTTTTTTCTTTACAATAAGTTTTGTACAATTTCATTTTTGTTTATCTTGGTATGATTTTACTTAAATTTCTTGTGCAAAAAGTTCATTTTTCTTGGAATTGCAGTATTGTAAGTTGAACTAAATTCAGAAATTTTAAATCTTTAAGTATTTATTGCCTACTCCTTTCTACTTTGAGGATTCTAGTTATTTAAGTTTCTTGGTTTTGATACAGTGAACTATTATGACTAATCTGTAAATTCTTTCTTCATTTTTATTTTGGACAATTTTTATTGTTATATTCATTTATGTTTGTAAATAATTTACTTTCAATTTGCAATCTATTAAAAATTTTTAAAAAACAAAAAAACCCAAAATTGATTATTATTAATGCTACAAAAAAAAGGAAAGTTCTTGACAATAAGAGGAGTAAACCACTGATACATGCGGCAAAAGGGATATATCTAATTTTGCTGTATGAAAGGAGCCCAGGCCAAAAAATAAGAACACCCTAAGACATACCTTTTGGGAGACAGAAAAGGACTGTAGGCCCTAATAATCTGGTAATTATAACCTATGCATCCCTTGATAAGTTCTTGCTCAGCCAAGCATAGACCTCCTTATATTCCACACTGCAATAAATGTAATTCATCCAGCCAAGATGGTGAGAAAGAGGGACCTAATTTTTGAATAGAGGAAACCAAGTCGATACAAAATTTACTTTAGAGGAGATGTTTTACAAAAATAGTTCTATGGTCAAAACATTGCAGTATTTTTTTTTTCCTAATATGCACAATAAGCAGTGAAGAGACACAGATAAAGTCACCCAGGATCTAAGAAATCCAAAATGCAGTATAAATAAGGTCAAATGAACTTATTACAAAGGAACAACATAATCACACTGAGAGAGTGGGAAAGAGAACAGCTAATCTGAACAATTTTGCAAACAGTATTTTGGCTGTACAATGTAAGACTATAGAAAAATTTCTTTTTCATAGGAATCAGATTAGCAATTTTGAAATTATGTGAATACTAGGATCAAGCAAATAAACACAAGAGGATTTCTTACTATCAGAAAAAAGGTGTGACAAATAAGGAAAAATGGGTCAGAATGGACACTGGTTAAAGAGGGGGATCAAACTCTGGGTACAGGCACAGATAGCAGTGTGATCTAAAGTGTAACTCTTTCTGTTGAAAGCCTTGTGTGCCATGATATTTTACAGCAGCAAGCACATGCATTGCTCTCATCTTATACTCCTCAAAAAAAGGAGCCAGAGTTTCTTGGAGAAGTGGATGGTTCCAGGGCCAGGGCTAGAAATGACGAAATGATCCCATGACACCAGAAAGTAGGGAGGGTTAAAAATTGATGGGGCACCTTAAAAGATCATGCAAGCCACTGTGAGAATATTGCTTTTTTTTTTTTTTTTTTTTTCCTGTATTTAGGGCAGGGTCTACAGGGTCTCACTGCATAGACCGAACTCATAGTGATCCTCCTGTTTACAGCCTCCCAAGTGCTGGGATTACAGGTGTGTGCCTCCATGCCCAGTCTCAATTGCTGCCTCAGTGTGCCCCAGGGACACGATCTCTTGGTCCCTGCATCTGCCTAAACAGGCGCTTTGATCCGCTGAGCTATTTGGCCAGCACTAAGAAAATTCCTAAAGGCCCAAATCTGAGTGAGACAATAATAGCAATGGATCACAGATCGGAACCTCCCCAAATAAAACCACCAAACTCCATACTAATATAAAGTGGTGAATAACTTAATAGAGGAAAAATAAATGGAGGAGACAGGTCTTTGTAACAAAAAATTCCAATTAATAACACAAAAGAATTGATGGAAACAGGCCAACACTACAGTACTAACATTTTTGCTGTATTTGTTCATGACAATGTCTTGCTATGTAATTTAATCTTGCCTTAAACTCACTGTACAGTCCAAGCTAGCTTCAAACTCACAGTAGTTCTCCTACATCAGCCTTTTGAGTGCTGGACCATGCCCAGCCACAGTACTAACTTTCAAAAGCAAGAACCATCAATAGATATTTGCATAATATGTCTCCCTATAAATAATTTCAAAAGAAAAAACAGCAGCTTTAAACAGGAAAGACCTGGCAATACTACAATAACCAAATCATCAACTTAAATAATCACTAGCAGTTAGATATATTCCCAGCAAGAACATCCTACAGGGGGCATCCTCACTTCTGGGGCATTCCTGAGAAAATGCACTGCCACAACTAATCACAAGCAAACATCAGGTATGGGCAACTTGAGCAGCATCCCAAAGAGAAGCCAGAACTTTCAGAAGTATAAAGCCATGAAAGGTGAGGGAAGACTGAGGGCTGCAGCAGACCAGAGAAGACAAAGAAGACATAAAACTGTCTCCTTTGTTGTCCGGCTGCTGTCTCTGAAGGGCACTGCAAGGAACAGTCAGAAACAAAAATGGGGTTCTGGGTCAGCTCCTAGACTAGAAAAAAGAAAAGTATCAGGGAAACTGGTAAGTTCACATAAGGTCTGAGAATTTTTAAAAACAGTATTTTATCAATGTTCACTTTCTGGTCTTGATGACTGTGCTGATTCCATAAATCTACATTAGGAGAATTTATAATGTACATAAATCACACACAAATCTCCACATTCCTTCTACATCTATATTAGTCCAAAATTATTTCAAAACAAACAAAAATGTTCAAATCCCTAGGAGGAAACAAGGGGTGTAAGTTCATTGGTAGAGTTGTATGTTTAGCATGTGTGAGGTCCTGAATTCCATCCCTGCCACAGAAAAGGAAGGGAGGGAGGGAGTCCCTTTGTGGATTCTGGGCACCCCTAGGTCTGTGTCCTGCGCACAGAGCTGTTCCTTGTAGTGCCCTTCAGAGACAGCAGCCAGCATGATATAGCAGCCAAGCAGAAGGCAGGAGACTGCTCTCATGTCTTATCCCTTTTCTACACTTACTGATAGCTGAATTCTGCACAGTGAGCATAAATTACAACGAGAAAAGTCTCAAAAAGCAAGGAGCCACAGCAAATGAATCTACAGAAATAACGTCTTATAAGAAAACATTTCATGCTCACCACCACATGAGTAATTTCTTATTCATTACTGAAATCTCACCCTGGTAAAATGCTCAAGTAATTTTTAAAGTAATCAAAAGACAGAAACAGAACTGTGGCTAGCTTATGATCTAAGCCAGACCTTGATATGCTAAAATAATTTCTGGCCTGGAATTATGGCACACACCTGTAATCCCAGCACCAATAGTCTGAGGCCAAAGGACTGTGAGTCTGAGGCCAGTTTAGGCTACATAATATGTTCAATGATATTCTAAACTACACAGACTGTCTCAAAAAAATTATGCTATGTAAATTATACTGTTTTCTGGGATTTACTGTATTAAAGAAAAATTTAAGATAATAATTTAAAAATATAATTTTACTTACTTTTACATTTTTTATTGTTACATAAAGGTAAACCTCAAAAGTATCACTTTCCACAGCACATAATTTGGCCTGCACCTGCGTAGCTGCTAAAAGGCATAAATAAAACACAAATGAGCTGACATTAAATGCATACTTGAAGCAATTACAATTATTCCCCAGCCTCTACAAACAAACCACTTATAAGCAACCAGTGCCAAAATGGCCTAAGCAGGATGGCTCCCAGAATAAAGGCAGCAGGCATGAGCGAGCCACACAAAAGACTCCTGACTGGAGTGAGCTGCATATCTTTTGTTCCCATCTACAGGGTCCTCCTGCAACCCTCATATAACCTCCTCAAGTACTTTCCTAGGTTCTATCTTCTCAAATCCTTCCAATGAAGTGTTCCATCTTCCTCTAATACCCTGTGGAGCAGACTTCTTGGCTACACTATCCAAGACTCAGGGACCCAAACAGCAGCTCCAATTGTGAGCATCTATTATGTGCTATGTCAAGTCATTTTTATACCACATTTACTTTTACTTGTACCCTGTGAGGTAAGAACTGTTACCGTCATTTTACAGGTGAAGAGGCTAAGCTCAGAGAAAGTTAAGTGCCTTGTTGAAGGCTGTAGAAAAGGAAATGGGGAGAATTCAACTCCAGGCAATCTGCTTCCTCTAAACCAGTAACAGTGCACCTTTTACAGCTTTCAATGGTAACAAACAGCACACTGACGTGTGGGCACCAGGTTCACCACCACTGCTCTAAACAATATTCCTATTTTGTATCACCCCTTAAAGAGCATACAAGGGCTCAAAATGCTATTCAGTGACATTCTGTAACCTTCACATCTCCTATGTGCAAAGCATTGGGTTTTTCCTTTACCCAGACAATGGAAGGCCAGGAAAAACCAGGTACCCAGAGGCACTCCAGGCACTTTACATCCACTTAGAGGATGGTCTCTACTAGAGGATGGGACAGGTGCAAGGAAAGAAACTATATTTTATGGTCACTTACATAAAATAAAGCACCTTAAATAGCCAAATAGCCTATAAATATTAAACTAGCAATAATGATTATATGACTCTTGATTATTTTAAAAAGTCAGCTTATCAACATACTTAGCTCAATAAAAGATTCAATGTATTTTGTATTGCTGAAATTTTTAAGGGGCAAGGATTATTATTCTGTAGGGGTATATCCACAAGAACAGCCTCTTTCTAATTTCAGCTGTCAACTGCTAATATTCTCATCCACCTACGAGGTCTCAAAGGTTGTTAAAGAAACCCATATGACAAAGGCCTTTGCAGGCACATTTCAAGCCCCCTTGCTGACAGAAGGGTAAATCACCGCAGGTGTTGGTTCAAAGCAGGCTACAAAGAATACAACACAATGGCCTTACCTTTCAGGACACTCTGAAAGTATTGGATAGCAGCACTGTCCCACTTCTTTGCAGGTCTGAAATAGAAAACAGATTCAACTTCACTAACTAAAAATTTAAGGCTTACATAGGATCATTCTGTAAACCATTCATTGGATATGTCCCATATTAAATACCAAGCATATGATGTTGATAAGGGAGCCAACCCACATTCCTACATCTCCTGCACACTGCCGGGACACACAGCAGAGAGGCCCCAGTCAAATGATCTATGCCCCAAACCACAGCATAATCTGTCCCAGTGCTATTAGTCCCAATTACTGGTGACAAATTTGTCTCCCTAACATAATCTCCTTGGGGCAGAGATCCTGAGACTGCCAGGCCCAGCCCAGCACACTCTGGCTAAACCAGCAGCATCAGAGGTGGTCGGGGAAAGCTGCCATCATCCTATACTAGTTTTCACTCTGCTGACATGCACCCCTATGCCATTTCCCACTTGATCTCCACCAGCTTGCTCTTTCTACATCTTATCAGATGTGATTAAACTACAATGAATATTTAATTTTTAAAACTGCATTACAGTAAAAGATACATTACCAAATATGGGGGAGGGAGTATCTATGTATATCTTTCCATATCTATGTACCTTATGTAGATATAAAATTACTCGTCTATATAACCATTTTAGAATACTAAATTGGGCTGGGAAGATAGCTCAGTGGCATAAGCGCCTGCCTGACAAGTGCAAGGTCCCAAGTTCAATCCCTGGTACTGCAAAAATAAAATACTAAATTATTATATATTACATAATTAGATTATTTTCAAAATTATTCTATTATTTTTTATTTTGTGTAAATGTGCCAAGTGGTTTGAAAACAAAAGAGATGGCCATCAGGAAAGAATGATTAAGTATGACAATTACATTCATCTACAAAAAAAAGACTGGAAAACTAAAAGGAGAGGGATGTGTATTGGTAAGGGGCTTCAACAGATACACATTATTAAACTAATTTTAAAAGGACAGCATGTTCTAATTTTCATTAAAAGTCCCAACACATAAAATGTGTGCAATGGCACTAACAAAGGTCTGGAAGTTCAGGAATGTAACAGTCTACACCTCCCAGGAGAAAGACAGTCTGTAGAACAGTGTATTAAAGTTGTGTTTTTTGACACAGGATCTTGCCACATAGTTCAGACTGGCCTTGAATTCACTATATGAGTTCAGGCTGGCCTGGAACTTGTGGTGATCTTCTTACCTCAGCCTCCCAAGTGCTGGGATTCAGGTGTGTACCATCATGCCTAGCTGTTTTGTTTTTGAGATGGGATTTTGCTATGTTACCCAATCTGGCCCTGAACTCTTGAGCTCAACTCATTCTTCTGACTCAGCCTCCAGAGTTGCTAGGACTACAAGTATGTACCACAGCACCTGGCTAATAAACTTTTGGTCTATGATCCTAAGTTTTGCTTTCCTAGACAGTTAAATTTATTGCTTCATAAGTTTTTAGAAAAGATAAATATCACAGTGCTCAGGCCCTCCTCCAAACCTTCAAACATAGCCTCTGAAGCTGAGGCTAACCCATGAAATTCTGCTGCACAGCCAGGCTGGACCAATAAGGACTCAGAAGCTACGTCCTGCAAAACAAACTCAGCATTTCCACAGGGAACTAATTTCAAATAAACATCATGCATTTAACACTTTAATGATTTAAACTACTTAAAAAGCTATACTTACACAATTACAGCATTGTCTTCACAGAAATCAATATGTAATGTAACAGGTTTTGTGCAATAGAGCCTGAATTTTTTCGCCCTATAGGGAAGCTGCATAAAAGATTCTCCTGCAACTCGGATGCTTGAAAGTGAAAGGGAGACAGTTTTATTATAAATAAAATTACACACGATATATTCATTTCATTTAAAGTATGTCTATATAGTCAATATACCTAACAGAAACAATTCTTTTTGTTTCAAATTTAGCTATCAACAGTGTGTGAAGACACTTGGACTAGGGCAATGATGGTGAATCTTGCCACAGCAGACTGTTTGTATCACTGAAAGCTCTAAAAGGTTCGCCATCACTGCACTAGAGGCTAAAGACTGCTTAAGTGGAAAATATCTCACTCTTTGTACATAAAGCATAGATATACATATATAGTGCATAAGCAGATGTTAAATATTTTTGTGGTATTAACATTCCACAGCATAGAAACAGGAGTTCAGGGGAAAAAGGTCTAGTGAGGATCCCAAGGTTGAGAAACACTGGATATGAGCAAACCTGTGAAGAAAATTTTGTATAAGATTTTTAATGATCAATTCCACTATTGGACTAGAATTATAAAAGTTTCTGTAAATTAAAAAAGTGTCTCTAAAAAATAAAAAATATAAGTTTCTCATGCTCACTTCAGCAGCACAAATACTAAAAAAGTCTGTGTATAAACTGATGTTTCAATAATAAATTATTGCCATCTTGGCACAAAAGACCCAAAGGTCAGATTTGACAAATAAGTTCTAGATTCTTATTCTATTCCATTCTTATTCCATTCAGGCAAATGACCATGGTAAGATGATTTTATTTTGTTTGTTTGGATTTTTTTTTTTCAGAACCTTATGCTTGTCAGGCAGGAGCTGTGCTACTGAGCTATCTCCTCAGCCCCTAAGATATTACTTTAACCCTGGATCCCACATGCCTTGCAACTATCAGAGCAACTGCAGCTTTCTATCTCAGTGTATGGTTTTCTTGCCCCAAACATGCTAATCTTAAAGTGCCAAACACAAAGATAAAAGCTATCCAACATTAAGCAAAATAGAAATTTTTAACAATTATAAAGGTGCAGAATTACAACCTGGAAAACCATCTCCATTTTCCTTAAATATCTGTAAATTCCCAATGGCTGACAAGCCCTTCTACCATGAAGATTAAGACACCTCTCTTATTGGTATTGTCTACTTGGCATTGTTCCTTCTTTAGTGAAGAACTGTCCTATTTATTAAGCTGACAACTTCTTACTCTGGGAAGGTAAACTATAGCTATCCTGAACAACCTGTGCTAATGTTTTCTAGTAACTGATGTGTGGTCCCAGAAACAGTTAAGGCTGCCCCATGGGCATCTACTTATAGACTCATTCTGAACTATGTTCATGTTGTTTGTGGTGGCCACACCCACATGTATTATGAAGCATAGTCAGGACTGCATACTCTGCTTTCAGCAACCTAGGCTTGGCCAGCAACGTTTCCACTAGTGCCTTTTTGGGGGCCATGCTGAGGAAACTGCCAGCCAGACCCCAGGACACCTGGCTAAAGAACCCAGGACAGAAGGACCAGGACCTGACCTGTCTTTTCCACAAGAAAAGTGATAAAGGGTCAGAGTTGTCCTCTGAGCCTCAATCTGACCATTTGCTCTTCTAATCAGTAGATACAGAACTGGAATTTGCAAACACTCTCTTCTTAAAGCTGAGGAATTCCTGTTTCCTCTTTTTTCAAAAGGGAACAATCTCTATATCGCCTTAGAAACTGATATTCTCCTTGTCCTGACATCTGTCTCCTTGAAGATTATAAGGCAAAATAAACAACAGACATACTTTTTAGATTTTACTGGAATGTACTTGGCAAAATCCACAAGGAAACACCTGGCCAGGTAATGGTCTGCTGAAGGTATGATTGATTGAATAACAGCCCTGCACCAGGACTTTAGCTCCTGACAATAGACTACACAAACCTACAAAGGAAAGAGAAAGGGTTTATTTTTTAAATTCCCTGCTACAATCCTCAATGCCTGTCAGAGAAAAGAACTCCAAGAACATAGTTTACTTGCATTCTGCTCCACTGTTTTTTGTTTTTACTATAGTAGTTTCCTCTTTTTCAGTTTAACCCACCTGCAGATAACTACAGTCTGAAAATATTGATGGAAAACTCCAGAAATAAGCAATTCATAAGTTCTAAGTTGGGCTCTGTTCTGAGAAGTAGGAAATTCACCATCTCACCTCATGAGGTGATTATGAGGATGTGACTTTAGGGCTCTATGTGATATTTGGTCCTGCTTTGGCTTTTTCGCCTTCTCACTGCTTTATGGCTGCTGTGAGGAGAGCAGCTGTGCTCTACCATGGCCCTCCAATCATATTTCTGTTTCACACAGATCTAAAAGCAATGGACCTGGCTGAGTTTGGACTGAAACCTCTGATCCACAAGCCTAAAGAAACCCTTTCTCCTTTAGGCTGGTTTATATCAAGACATTTTTATGTCACATAACGTAAAACTATCACAAATAGGTGGTCATAAGAGTTTTATTACTGTTAATCTCTTACCATGACTAATTTATAAATTAAACTTTATCATATCTCATATACAGTTTAGGCATTAACGGGGGGTTGTGGAACATATCCCCCACAGGTATTATTACAGACTATTGTAAATTACTTTTGACTCCTCCTTAACTAGGGACAACTTTTAGAAAGTGCAATTTAAATTAAAGAAAAACTTTATTTATTTGGTACAGGGTCTCACCACACAGTTCAGACTTGCAGTGATCTTCCTGACTCAGCCTCCCCAGTGCTGGGATTACAGGCATGATCCACCATACCTGGCTTTGGTGGCTGGCACAGCATGCGGTACCAGGGATAAAACCCAGGTCCTTGCATTTGCCAAGCAGGTATTTGACTGCCAAGCTCTCTCTTCAGCCAAAAAAGTACAATTTTAAGAATGCATTAAGCAGGGGCTAGGGAGATGGCTCAGTAGAATAAGCACTTCCCTGGCAAGTGCAAGGGTCTGAGTTAAATCCTTGGTTCTGTAAAAAAAAAAAAAAAAAAAAAAAAAAGGAATGCATTAAGCAGGCTGGGAATACAGTTCAATGGCACAAGGTACAGCATCTATAATTCCAGCACTATTGGAAGCTAAGGTAGAAGGATCACAAGTTCAACCCCTGCATGGGAAACTTATTGACTTAAAAGACATCATCTTAAAATAGAAAATTAAAAAAGGCTGAATGTGTAGCTCAGTGGGAAGGCCCTGGATCCAATCCCCAGTACTACAAATAAACATGAGTAATAACAAAACCTACTCATTGAATGAATGACTAAATAAATGTCTGTGGTTTCCTCTTACAGGGAACCATCCTGCTTAAGTGACAGCCATTGGCATCCTGAATAGATGACAGGACTACCAGGTCACAGCCAACTCAACTGGCAATCCAGCAGACCACACAATGACTACAGGCTCTCAAAGCCACCCAGTAGGGGGTAGCTGTACCCAAGCAGAGAAGAGGCCCACCAGCAGATTCCAGACCTCAGGAATGGATACTTGAAAATGCAGTGAGAGCCACACTGCAAGGGATAGGCTGAGAACCTCACATAATTCAACGCCCAAATGACTTAAGAGAAATCCTGACAAAGGATGAAGACTATTTAATGCTAAAATCAAAGCAAGTTGTAGGACTGTTTTGAATAGTTAATAACTCATATACCAGTAAAACTTTGAAATTGGGTTACACCAGGGCTTCTACAAGCCAGAAAAGGAACAATTTACACAACAAGAACAGTGACTATAACTGATCAATATATTAAAAATCCATCAAGATCAAAATGGTACCTAAAAATTAAAAAAAAAAATGAGGCTGTGGACATGTTGTAACAGAACACTTGTCTAGCATGCAGGAGGCCCTAGTTTCAATCCTCAGCAACTCAAGAAAAAGAAGGGAGGAAAGAGACACCTCTGAACACCTGTACAAACATTTAGGCACAAAGCATTATATTGAAGATATCTAAGAAAAAAAATCAAGTAATTTTTAAATATTGACATTATAAACTTAACTGCTGAAGTCCTAATAACTGCCATCTTAGTAACTGTATGGATTTTAATAAATCAGAGAAAGTTCTACACAGAATCACCCCAGCCCATGAATGCAGAAAGAACAAGAGAAATCCCCATGATGCAAGCACGAATGAAAGCTGACTGGGCAGCAGTGGTCAATGAAAGGAGAGATCAGCACATAAATACTTACAGGCAATTTCCAAAGTGCACAGGAGGTGAGGCAGTCACCATCCAAATTCACTGGCCACAGAGATGTTATCTCCCAATTTAATGCCATATTATAAAGCTCAAAGAGCAAACATTCTTAGGGGAAAAGGTGACCCTAAACCTACTAGAATTTTATATTTAATTGTATTTAAATATCAATCCATAGAAAATACAGAAGATAGAGGAAAAGGTTAAACTATCACCACAAGATAGCAATCAAGCTATTTAAAATGTGAAATATCTTAAAGGGTGAGATGTGGTAGAACATTCTATAATTCTAGAACTCTGGGAGCCTGAGGTAGGAAGATCACAAGTTCAGGCTTGGCAGAGCAACATAGAACTTACTTAGCAAGACTCTGTCCCAAAATTTAAAAAGTGCTGAGTATATAGCGCAGTATGAAGGTCCTAGGTTTGATCCCCAATATCACACACACATTAAAAAAATAAACTGTTATTAATTATGATTTGAGGAGTACAAATCCAAATGTTTTCTAGTTTTTCATATTGTATAAGTCTTTTCCCATGGGCTGGGGATATAGCTCACCAGCTTAAGTGCCTGCCTGGAAGGCACAAGGTACTGAGTTCAATTCCTCTAACCAAAAAACAAACAAACAAACAAACAAACAAACAAACAAAAAAACAAAGCAAAAAGCAATCTTCTCATTACATTATCCCAAAAAATTCAAACTCTAAGAAACAGCTGACCTGTAAGGAATAATGAACAATGGGAGATGGACACTCCAAGAATGAAAAGAGGGGCTATGGTATGAAATAAGGCAAATAAATAAAGCAGTGTGAGTTGCAAAAGCCATGAGCAATTAAGAGACCCCAGAGTAAAACCACAGCCCTCACTGCTGAAATCTCTACCCAGTGTTGGATTCAGGATTGTCTCCTAGCTCCCAGCCCCAGAAGGATGGCACCTGGACTTAAATGATATACTATCTCCTATTGCACCATGAGTCTTGCACAACAATCCTGCCTTCCTAGAACTGGCCTGAATCTTGTGTAACCCATCAAACCTAACACCAGGCAATGATTATAAGCAACTAAAATATTCCAAAGGCTTTAATCACCTTAGGAACCAAAATATTATACATTTTGAGCAGTGTTTCAAGGCATGGTGATTAAAGCACATTTGATACATACTTGCCCTTCTTCCAAAATCGATGGTTTTATTTCTGTATTTTGATGCATGCTGTTATAGAAGTCATTCATGGCACTATTTAGTTTTTGATAGTCGACTTCATGATCTAAAAATGGACTGCATCCTTTTATAGCAACCCAAAAGCAATCTGGATCTTCAATCTACAAAAATCATTTAAAAGTAGAACAACAAAACAATAAACTTACAGTCACAGTAAGTATTTCTAATTTGTGATCTAACAAATTCTTTTTTTTTTGAATCAGAAATCAAACTCAGTACTTCAAGCTAGCCAGACAACTGCCATGCCACTGAGCTATATTCCTGGCCCTACTAATAAGTTCTTGAAAAGTATATTGTTCTTAAAGGGTCAGATTAAAGATGAAATTCCAAAGCATGTAAGCAATAATATGCAATTAATTCTCAATTTCATATTATGATAAAGCAAACAGGGCCCTTGAATTATATTTTTAAATTTTAAAAAATCTTTGCTTGGTACAGGGTCTAGATACACAGCTAGGACTCAGAAATCCTCCTGTCTCAGCCTCCCCAGTGCTGGGATTACAGGTATGCGCCACCACACAGGGTTTCAGTGGGGCAGGGCATGCCCGGGGCTCCAGGGCTGGCATGGTATGTAGGAGCAGGGACTGAACTCTGGTCCTTGCCCTTGCCAGGCAGGTGCTAAGATTGCCAAGCTATCTCCCCATTCCTTTAAAAATTTTTTTTTTATTTGTATCTATTTATGAGTAAAATTCAGCCATTGAATTCAGGTATATAAAGGCTATCTTTAGTTCAGAAATAAATGTTGGGCTCTGAAACCCAGAGACTATGTATCCAAGGCTCCATAGCCAGCAGGTAATCAAGTGTGGTACAGATACCCATCTTTTCTTATAGTTTAGTTCAATTTGCGAAGACACTGGGGCTCTAGATGTGTCTGTCTGGTACCTGCCTGGCCAATTTGTCTAGAGGTATGTCTCCCCATTCCCGATCTTCTATTTTTTAAAATGTCTATTATATCTATTAGGTTCAGTACAGCTTTTGATCTTTCCATAAGAATGAAAAACATATGAATACATTTACATTCTGCTCATACCTTTAAAAATAGATAAAATACATAGTATTCCCTACTAGAAGAGGGAGGAGTGGAATAGGACAGAATAAGAAATCTCTGTGAATGTATCTTGTGATATGCTATTATTAGAACTCAAGATTCTCAGCTGGGCATGGTGGTGCATGCCTGTGATCCCAGTACTTGGGAGGCTGAAGCAGGAGGAACACCTCGAGTTTGAGGTCAGCCTGGGCCTCATAGTGAGTTCAAGGACAGCATGAAGTACATAGTGAAACCCTGCCTCAACAAAACAAAACAGAAAAGATATTCTCAGCAAGGTATGGTGGTACTTTATTACAATCCTCACACTCAGGAGGCTGAGACAGGAATACAGATGTTTGCATTAGTATTTTTTATAGTCCTCTGAATGTTTGAACATTTTAAGGTTTTAGAAATAAGAAAAACGATTTTGAGGACTTCCAGGGCACCTGAAAACTAAGGAGAGAAAAATCAGAAATGGAGAAGCATGGAAGGGGAGCCCCTATCCTGATAAGAAGTCCCCTTCACAAGCTGGCAGAGCACAAATTGCTTCGGTGAGATTCTAAGGAGAGAAGACACAATCCTACAGTGACTGGCTTCATTATTTTCGTAAAGACTCACGTTAAATCGTCCTCAGAATTTTAACTTTTCAAGGTTAAACAATACTCATATACACACACACGTTACTTTTTGTTACCCACTGTTGGACATTTGGGAATTATTTTATCCATGTAAAGGCTAGGTGGATAACCACAAGTGGTATCTGTACCACACTTGATGAAATGCTCCTACTTAGGACAGACAATTTGCCCAGAGGGTGGGCTGGGTTGTAGTTTGAAGAAGCGGAAGATCAGAGTCAATGTGGTAAAAAAAAAAAAAAAAAAAAAAGGATTCCTGAGGCCCACGTGAGAGAAAAGAGGTTCCCAACCACCAGGCAGAGTCAAGCTCCTCTGGCCAAGGGCCTTGTCTTTTTTAGAGAAACCTGGCTACCCTACTTAGGATGGATTGGCAACATCTGACGTGGTTGAAGAGGCACTTGTTTGCTAATTGGATCCCGAAGCCCTAAAATCTCAGGGCAAACCCTCCAATTAGAGAGTGGAGTTTTTAAAAAGTTTGTTCATTTTTGTGAGGAGAAATTACATAGAACAGGATGGTATTTAAAATCTCTCCATTTGCTATTTTCTTTCCTCTTCTCAGCTCATGAAATCATGTATGATTTCAAAGTAATTTATATTCCCTTTTTCCCAGTAACCCAGGCCCAGTCATTTGCCATCTGTAAATACCGTCCTCCAAGCAGGACAGGTTCCCAGGCCACTACTGAGCATAACTGGTTGCAAAGACCTAAAAGCAGCCACCCACGGCCACTGCGAACACTCACACTGCCCGGTACAGGACAGTGTGAGAGGGCAGAGCGGGAGGCAGAGACCTAGCTGGGCTCGCTGCAGGGGGAGGACTGGTCACCGGGAAGCGGTTCAGCCCAACTCGCGCGGCTCAGGAAGGCGGGTCTCACCTTCAGCACCAGGACCTCCAGCATCCTGCCCCGCGCAGGCCGCCCTCTGCGCCCTCCGTCGTCCTCGAGGGGCGCCCACCTGGAGGTCCTGGGGCCGCGGCTCCCAGAAAGCAACGGAGGGGAACTGACGGTCCCTTTGAACAGGTTAGTCAGACGGCAGGCGACTCTCTGGCCTTCAGAGGCCCTGCGCGTGTGGAAAGAAGCGAAGCGCGCCTCTCGCCTTCGTCCTTGTCGTCCCACGGCGCCACGTACAGCGGAGCGGTGCCCGACGGTTGACGTCCACGTGACGTGCACGCAGGCGCAGTGCGGATACGGAAGCCGCGAGGTCCGCGGCGGCGGCGATCTCGAAGGATCTTTTGTTTTCGCGGTGTGAGATCGTGGAATTCTGAGAACCGCTCAATTTTTTGGGTGGGGAAACAGGCTCGGTTAGAAAAATGTGTAAGTTTAGAAAAGTCAGTGCTTTGTCAATGAAAATAAGCGTTGGGGTCTTTTCCAGAAGGCGGGCAGGGGGCGATGTTGGCTGAAGCTCTCCCCCTCCCGCGTGCGCGCGCTCAAGCAGTAACGTCACGAGGACCTTCCGCCACCCCAGAAGCAGCAAGTCAGGTACTTGTGAAGGGCGGCCCCATCACAAAATAAAATTGAACAATAGAAAGGTCTGGGGATCTTGTTTAGAGTGAAGGCCCTGGGTAGCAGCTTTAGCATCATATCTGCCACCACGTGGAGGGCGGGGGAGAAATTCCACAAGGTTCTATAAATATATGCTTAATATTTGAAACAAAGAGCCACTAGCTTTGGTTTGAGTTCCAGAATCTTTGTTGGGTTAAATATAAATCAATGTTCGAGGTGTAAAAATGTAGTTTGCCCGATGAGTATACACAGTGACAATTGCTAATTGAAACCTAACTGAAATCTAATGAAGGCCAACTGACAACAAAAGCCTCATGAAGAAAATGTACCTTGGAAACATAAAAGATTTTGAATGCAAAAGGGCACAACTCAGAGTGATCCAGAATTCAAAGACTGACTTTAACTTTTGAGTACTACATATCTTTGTGAAGATCTGCGTCTAACTCAGGAAATCCTACTGGTGAAAAACCTCCTGTACTCCTCAAATGAGCAGCATTTCGCAGTATATACAGTATAACATAGAGCTGTTAGCTACATAATAAAAAAGAAAATTAGGATTAAGAATGCTCTTTCAACTCAGACATCAAATTGGAGTACACAGGCTCACCAAAAATTTAGCATGATGTGAGAAATAAATATTGATGCCTTTGTAAAGATACTTAGATGCTTCCTGGAATTATCCTCATGTTCAGGGAAATCTTTACCTCGGGTTGAAAATTCTTAGAATGACTTAAAATGCACTTGGCTGAGTGTTTTTTAATCTAGACAATAAGAAAAATTCAATCTCACCTTAAAATGCACAGCAGTATTAACCCTCATATTTTGATCTGTCTTTAAACTGGGTATCATTGAATATTTTTATATGTATTTATGAAGTGCTAAATAAATGTTATTATCTTAAAAAAAATACAGCCAGGTGTGGTGGCGCAGGCCTGCAATCTCAACACTCAGGAGGCTGAGGCAGAAGGATCATTACAAGTTTGAGACCAGCCTGGGCTGCAAAGTGACCTCAAGGTCAGCCTGAACTGCATAGTGAAACTGTCTCAAAGAGACAAAATAATAGTAATAATAATAATGTAAAAAATACATACTTAATAAATATCTCAGGCCAGTGGTTCAGATATAGTAAGGGTAGGACTACCAGAAGAAAGTGCTGCTGCAGAATACATGAAGTTCACTTGTTGCTAATTAGGCCCTCCCACATCCACATCAAATTAGGGCACTGACATGACCAGCTCACCTGAAAGCTGCAGGTGGAGACCATGACATCTGATTTAATGAGGTCCCAGAGCTAGTTCCCAAGTCCCAAAGACAGAAAATAGAGCCTTCTGAAGGGCAGTGCCAAAGCACAAAATGCTTACACTTTGGTTCGGGATTTAAAATGTGATTTCTGGTGGATGTTTAAGTCCAGGTCAACAAGATTTCAGCACAAGCGCACCTTGTTGGTCTCAGTGAAAATAACAGATAGCCAGGGTTGTTACTGGCACATGGCCACCTTTATGTATTTTGGTGTAAGTGTACGCTAAGCAACCAAAGACTGCTGTGAACACAGGCAGGATAGGGGCCTGAGGACTGCCACCAGTGTACAGTGGCTGGGGGCTGCAAGAGCAGCTACACAGATGGACTATAGATTAACAGCTGAAAAAAAGATGTTTAACCCAGTCCTCAGTTCTGTGTCTCTTCTTCAGGCTGCCCAAATCTCAAGTGAGACCTCCCAGTCTGAATTGCTGACAAGACACCTTTTCCCAGATCATAGTGTGAGACATTTATAGCATTTAACTTGATCCCTTTATGCTAGAATATGATATTTTTGCAAACTTTTCTTTTACATTATGGGCTAGAGAAAATAAAATATTTGTACATCACATTGACATGAGTTGTGCTTCCTTTAATTGGAGCTTACTGCACTGAAACTCAACAGATGCATTATTTTTCATGTAACTTGTACTAAACCATACTTTCAAGAGATATTTCTCTGTTTTACAAACCTGTAGCTATTGACCCCTCCTCTCATGTTCTTTCTTTATTCTTTTTGGCTTTTTTTCCCATAATTTTATTGATAGACAAATAGCAATGAGACAGTTTCAAACCAAATTGGTAGGAAAGTTTCAATAATCAACACATTGCATACATTCCTCCCAGTGGTTAATTGCTGTACAAGATGCGGACTTGTGGGGCTGGTGAGATGGCTCAGTGGTCTAAA